AACAGGAGACATCTTCAGATATTGTTTTCTTATCAAAGGAGTTTTATCAGGTCGCTTTAAGGAATACTAGGTCATCAGGGTATTTGTAATCTCCTCCATCTCTGAATTATGAACGAAAGGTATGTCAGTAAGTTTCATAGTCAGATAGCCAACTCTTTACGTTTGATCTTTTTGGTTGTCATTTACCCAAGCAGGTTGATGTAGAATTGGGATTTTAAATGCAGATGGACTGTTGCGCTATGCAAACCCATTATAGGGTAGCTGCTAGCCTTTGGTTGGCGCCATAGCCTCCCTGGTGCCATACTTTTTTTTTTGGCAAGCCCTTTTCCATTTTACAGATTATGGCTTTGCAATAATCCATGCCATTTCATAATGATAATATGTATAGGCATGAATTATGGATGGTGACCGCTCGTCCTGATATCGATACCATCATCCCACAGTCTCCTCAGGTCACTTTATGCGCTTCACAAAATAAAGTAAGAGTTTGCTGTCATCTCCATCCTGTCTTGGACTTCAAACTTTAACATAACTTTGCACCTGAAGGGAAGCATTTTTTGGTGCAAAATGTCACACTAAACAGGTTCATAACAAGAAGCATCAAACGGCACATCCATGTGTAGTACAATGCAGAAGACCAAACAACATAGAAGACACTCATGACAAATATTTCTCCTAATTTATCTGATCATTTCAACATATTTTCTCAAATCCATGGATTGTAAGGATTCCATTTGCGTACCAATAATCAGTACATTACACTAGAAGTTAGGAGGTTAGTCCTATAATATCTTCATGAAGTAGTAAATTATTCAAAGCATTAATGATTTAAATCTGTGAATAAAAAGTAACTCCATCTATATCAGATTTCAGAGAATCTTGTAGAGTAGTAAAGTATTACTACATACCTAAGTGGGTCGCCTTTTACATATATTAGGACGAAAGGGTAAAAAGTGCTTTTCTTTCAAAGAATTACGCTCTTCGATCCCAGAGCCAATATGTTACAAAACTTATCTTTGATTATATTGCACCTTAATTTAAGAGCCTCCTGTATCTCAAGTGAATCTTACAAGCAACTAATTTAGACTAAGAGAAGTTAGCTTGGGGAAATACATTGAAGTAATGCCAAATAAATTTGTGATTTATTTTTTATTTCCATCACACTTTGCTACAAAAAAATATTTTAAATCTTTAAAATGCTCGAACATAGTGTCCTTCATTGCACAGTTGCTCACTCTTACTTTTCCAGTGTTAGGACAACTCAGCGTAATCAGGAAACTTCTACGTACACGATGTAGATGCGCAGTCCACCTCTTCACCCCCATAAACAGGCTAACTAGCTATGGGTACTACGCAGGGTGCGGCTCCGTGCGAGGTTCCGCTCTAGTCAACAAGAGGGTAGGTTTCAGACCAACCACATACTCCACTAACGCCTTCCCCATTCTCCGAGCTCCTACACCTCAAAACATATTTGGGTTTGGTTGATCGAACAGCATCGCGAGTATGCATTTCTTTGGACCCAATCTGGACGAGCTTACCGCTCTAATCTCCCGCCATCGTTTAATCACCCCTTCAGGACGTACGCGAGCGGAGTAAAGGGAGGCGTCCTCTGCACTCGCAGAAGCCACCGTGGGGACCAGGAAGCAGAAGTGACCGCTGCCTCAATGGGGTTTCCGGGCCCCTGGCCGGCAAGGGAGCTGGGGCCGACAGCCTAGACCGAATCTTCTTCTGCCCCGCACAGTCTGACACAGTGAAGACGCGAACTACAACACCGAGAGCTCAGTCTCCGCTGGCCCCGGGCTCCACCGCACTCAAACTGGGCCGAGAGGCCGGCGAGGATGGAGCCAACGTAATCTCCGGCCGGCATATTCTTCTATCTCTGTATGTATGTATACCCCTGCAGACCAGCACGGAGGCAAGTATGGGAGGGACGCGGGCGATAAGACACCAGGAGCCACTCACCACCGTACCCTCCGCCGAGGTCCCAGCTCGTTCCTGTCCCGGCCGGGCTCCACTCTCCCGTGTTTCTTCGGCCCCACTTCCGGCGCTCAGCGCTGTCTCAGTTGTTCGTGATTCGTGCCGGCCCTGCCCCCGCCCAGTGCCTCCGCCGCGCCGCCGGAAACGCGCGCAGCGTCCGGGCACTCTCCGGGCTTCCGCCAATAGCTGCCGACCCGCGCCAGCACGCCGACCTCCGCCCGGCCTGGCCGCGCGCGTTTGAACACATCATTTGTCTGATTTCATGTAATTTTCAGAACAAAATTCAAATAATAATTATGACATAATCTAGGAATGTGTTTAAATCACTATTTAGTATGGCCACCATGTTAGAACAGACTCTACTGTCAAGGTTTGGATCCACCACTTCGCATTACTCACTGTAAATGCTAGTTTCCCCACCTTTAAATGAAGGTGCTGGGTGAGGTGTCTCACGCCTATAACCAAAGCACTCTGGGAGGCGAACGAGAGGCCATTGCTGAGTCAGGAGTTTAGAGACCAGTCTTGAGCAAGAGAAGACCAACTCTACAAAATAGAAAAAGATAGCCAGGCATGGTGCAAGGACCTGAGTCCCACTACCTTATTACCCGAGGGGAGGAGGATCCTTGAGCCCCAGAGTTGAGGATGCTGGAACTAGGCTGATGCCACGGCACTCTAATTAGGGTAAGAGACTGTGTCTCAAAAAAATATAATAAAATAATAAAAGAAAAGAAAATAGGAATTCCCAAGTACTCAGGTGGCCAAACAGGAAGATAGTTTGAACCCAGGACTCCCTCTCTCTCTCTTTCTTTTTTTTGAGACAGGGTCTGGTTCTTAGTCCTGGCTGGATGGAATACAGTGGGGCTATATCGTAGCTCACTTTAAAGAGACTCCCTGGCTTAAGGGATCCTCCAGGAGGGCCTCCCAAGTAACAAGGACTACAGGCACGTGCCACACGTCCTCCCAGGCAACGCCGGCCCCCTCTAATTTTCAAATTTTTTGTAGAGAGGAATCTCACTATGTTGTCCAGGCTGGTCTTGAACTTCTGGACTCAAGTGATCCTCCCACCTCGGCCTCCCATAGCTCTGGGTTTACAAGCATGAACCACCAAGCCCGGTTTCACGTCTTTTAAAAAAATAAAAAATCAAAAACTTAAATTGGAATAATGATATTTTCTTCCTCACGTTGTGAGGATTAAATGAGTTAATATTTGTAAAGCCCTTAAAACTGCTCCTGGCAATAGCCAGTCCTTCATGTGTTCATTATTATGCTAAGATCATTGCTATTATGCTAAAATCAAAACCTCATGGATTTAAACTTATATGTTCTAAAAAAATTAGAGAAATGAAGACTCACATTTTCCCAGCGCTCCCTAATTTTATGAATTGCTTGATGCTTTTGAAAGCATTTAGAACACCGCATGTAGCAAGGAAAGAAATATAAAAAAAGGGGGGGGGAGCAACCTTGGGTTCGAAGTGTGCATTCTTTGTTCAAAAATTCAAGTTTGACCCTCCTTAATCATCCTTCACCATTAAGCATACTCTTCAAACCACACTGATTTCTTTAAAAGTATCCTCCCCACCCTTTCCGTTCTAGCCCGGCCCCTTTGCTTTTCCCAAGGATGGGGTGGGGGAAACTAGTCCTCACACAATCTAAGGAAAAGGCTGCGCATTCCCTTGACCAAATCGAGATCTGGCTCAACAGTGGATGTTTAAAAGCTGGTATTTCTTCTACAAGTTCGGCGATTAAGACCTCTTTAAAACATTAAATCACTCCAAATATCAGGTAAAACAGCCGCAGCGCTACGAGGCCTCCAAGCTAGGCTTAATTCTCCCTGGAAGCAACCAAGGAGCATCCAGAGGCGAAGCCCAGCCCAAAAGCGCTCTGGGGAAGGCGCCTGCGCCCGCTCGCACGCCGACTCCGCGCCCCTCTCGGGACACAGGCGGCTTGGCGCCCCACGCCTCCCGGGGCGGAGGGGCTTGGCTCCCCACGCCCACAGCAAAGGGGAACCCGAGGCACGCCGACGCCGGGAGCAAGGGGGGGCCTGCGCTGCTCACGGTAGACGGCCGGGCCCGCGCCCCTGAGAACCGGAAGAGCCGCCGAGCCGCCGACCTGCCGGCGCCGAAGAGCTCGCCCCGGGCCAGGCGCGACAGAAGGAAGCGCGCAGCAACGGCGGCGGCGCCGGGCCAGGCCGGGCGGGGTGCGGCGGGGCGGGGCGGCGCGGCGGCGGGGGGTGCCCCGGACGCTGCGCGCGTTTCCGGCGTGCGCGGCGGAGCACTGGGGCGGGGGCATTGCCGGCACCCAATCACGAACAATGAGACAGCGCTGAGCGCCGGAAGTGGGGCCGAAGGAAAACACGGAGAGGGAGCCCGGCCGGGACAGGAAGAGGCTGGGGACCGCGGCGGAGGTGGTGAGTGCTCCTGGGTGTCTTCTCCCCGCGTCCCTCCCATACTTGCCTCCGGGCTGGGTCTGCAAGGGGTTCCCAGATCTCCAGAGTAGAGGTTGGGCCCGGCCCCGGAGATACGTTGGCTCCATCCTCCGCCGGCCTCCTCGCCCCAGTTTGAGTGCCCGGGGAGCCCCCAGGCCAGCGGAGACTGAGCTCTCGGGTTGTAGTTCGCGTCTTCACTTTGTGTCAGACTGTGCGGGGGCAGAAGAAGGGATTCGGGTCTAGGCTGTCGGCCCCAGCTCCCTTGCCGGCCAGGGGGCCCCGGAACCCCATTGAGGCAGCAGGTCACTTCCTGCTTCCTGGTCCCCACGGTGGCTTCGTGGCCGGGAGTGCAGGGACGCCTCCTCTTTCTCCGCCTCGGTCTCTGAAGCGTGGAAACTGAGGCGGATTGAGGGTGGGGCGGTCAAATTGGGTTCCAAAAGAAATGTCATACCGCAGAGAATTGCTGTTCGTAACCAAACCAAACTTGTTTGAGGTTGGAGAGCGAGGAATGGGGAGGTTAGCTGGAGTTGTCCCTTGGTCTGAAACCTAGCCCCTTTGGCTAGAGCGGAACCTTGATCGGGAGCCCAGCCCCTCCGTAGTCCCCAAGCTATTGAAGCCCGTCTGTTGGAGTTGAGATGGAGCATACTTCGTTCACGTAAAGTTTCAGTTACTGTGTAACACATAAAAGTAAGGACAACTTTTCATTTTAAACACTGTTTCGAGAGTTTTGTAACAATATTGGCTTGGGACGAGGTTTTCTTTGAAGAAAAGCACTTTTATATAGGTAAAAGGCGACCCACTTGGTATGAGTAATACTTTACTACGCTACAGTTCTCGAATTTATAGGAGTTTCTCTTATTCACAGATTTAATCTTAATGCTGAATAAGTACTACTTTTCATGAAGAATATTATAGGACTAACCCTCCTAACTTCTAGTGTAATGTACTGATTATTACGAATGTGATAGAAATTGTATTAAAAGACAAAATAGGAAAAGAGGAGTGTCTTCTAAGCTTTTGGGCTTCTGCATGATAAATGTGCCATTTTGTGTACTTGTTATGATACCTTGTTATAGTTGGATGTTTCACCAAAATGCCTTCTTTCAGGTGCAAAGTTAAGAAAATTGAAGTCCAAGACCATGGGAGATACAGCAAAACCTTATTTTGTGAAGCGCACAAAAGACCGAGGAACTGTGGATGATGATGATTTCAGAAGGGGTCACCTCCAACAAGATTATTTAATAATGGATGATTATGCTAAAGGCCATATCAGTAAAATGGAAAAGGGCCTTCCAAAAAAAAAGATGGCACCAGGGAACTATGGGAATACCCCCAGAAAAGGACCATATACTGTTTCTAGCAATCCATATGCATTTAAAAACCCAATCTACAGTCAACCTGCTTGGGTAAATGACAACCACAAAGATCAAAGTAAGAGATGGCTATCTGATGAACTTACTGGTAATTCAGACAATTGGAGAGAATTCAAACCTGGACCTAGAATTCCTGTTATAAGCCGACCTAGGAAAGACTCCTTTCAAGAAACTGAAGATGGTTATAGGTGGCAAGATGCAAGAGGCTGCAGAACTGTAAGACGACTGTTTCATAAAGACCTAACAAGCCTTGAAACCATGTCAGAAATGGAAGCAGGAAGTCCTGGTAATGTGTTCCAATTCGTTAGGTTACAACCCCTAAGTTATCAGTGTCTTATTTTTATCCAAACGAGTTTAGTTATTTTTAGCAATTCAGTTTCAATTTTTCGTAGTTTCTGTTTTAAGAAGTGATCACTTATTTAATGTGATTAAGGATTTTTATCATGGTATTTGGGCAACTTCTACATATTTCATATATTGAACCCTTTTAAAGTTTGCTTTAGGCTGGGCACACCTGTAATCCTAGTACTCTGGGAGGCCCAGGCAGGTGGATTGTTTGAGCTCAGGAGTTTGAGGAGTTGAGGACCCTGTCTCAAAAAAAAAATTTGCTTTGCCCAGGGCCTCATTTTATTTTAGCTTAAATTTTTCCACTGGGTTTCTTTTTATAGAAGAGGGGTGTATGTCCCCGAGAGACCTTAGCAAATGTGCTGAGTGATGTGTATATGTTTTAAATTTTGATTTAATTTGTACTTGAATATTGTTCATAATATAATTATGAATATAACGCAAAACCGCGCAATAGCTGATGTAAAAACAATATAGCGACATACATTATTCCTGCCATCAAAGGAGAGTATTTCAGTAGGTGTATCAATGGTCGCTAGATACCTAAGATTTTTGTTTTCCACAGAGAGCATGGCAAACAAAGATTGAGAAAACTTCTAAGTAGCCTCACGCATGCTTGTATATTACCTTCAAAGGATCCTTTATGTTTCAAAAAGGTAAAATAGAGTTTGTCCATGTAGCAATTTTCTTAAACAGGAATGATATTTTTATCTATATGGATAGTATTTACTTGAAATTAAAGTCACACAATTGTATGGAAAAATGAGAACATGTTAGGTAAAATGAAAAGTACACCTGAGAAATGGACTTGTAGTTTTATGACTGAAAGCCTTTATTATGGCATTAGAATGGGTTACAAGTAGCTAGCACCTTAAAATTTTTGAATAAATTGCATCGGGCCAATATGGTACACTTGAGATCTCCAGAGGCCTTTTTTCTTCATGTTATCTCACAATGGTCAGTTCATATATGTGGTACCTGTGAACATTTGAGTTTGTGAACTAGCAGTGTGAATACTTGAGAAAAGACATTTTTAATCTTTAGGAAG